GGATGATGGATGGATGGGTGATGGATGGATGGATAGGTGGGTGGGTGGTAGGTAAATAAATGGGTAAATGATGGATAGATACATATTTAGATAGACATCTTTTTCTACAGAGTTTGTTTAAAAAGTCAAGCTTAGCTGGCAACCGGAACAAAGATGGTCTCAAGTACAGGAGTCTGCTGCCTTCTGTATGGTGTTAGCTCTTATTTTATGATTGTCCGGTAATTCTTATGTTAACCACATTGACCACAAATCTCCACTGACTTTGGAACAGTCAAAACAGATTATTTTTGGCAGGCTTACCTTCGGCTGGGGTCATCTCACTCAGGTTTAGGTTGACCACAATCCTTGCTCTCAGCCTTGCTGGAATGTGGTGGAAAGGATCTAAGCAGAGTGAGAGAGCTAGCCTAGGGCAGCCCACCTGGATGCCAAGAGGGGGAGGGGCCACAAGCTGTGTTTGTGCTCCGAGAGCATCAGCTGTGAGCCAGTATCCCCCAGCATTGCTGCTGTGACCCAGAAGAGGTGGCTCCAGGACCCAGCGCTCCAGAAAGAAAAGGCTTATTCCCCGAAGCTGCCTAGCTGGTAGGCAGGTTCTGCAGGGCCCATCATAAGGGTAGGTTGGCATGACCAGAGAAGTCCAGGTCCATCGTTTGATGGCTCCCTGGAACTATCCCTCCATAACCTCCTATGTATGAATGCATGATTGTGCACAAACATGAACGTGTACACACACACACACACACACACACACACATGACACACATGTACACACAAAGACTACTTTGAGATTCCATCTTACCAGAGTCAGAATGGCTGTCATCAGGAAGATAATGGACAGCAGTTGGCAAAGGTTTGGGGAAAGAGGGATTCCATTGTTAAGTTGAAACTATTCAGGTTACAGAGCAAAAGAAGTGGACATTTAGACGTTGGGTTTTCCCTGCTTAAAACCAAGACCCTGCCTTCCCGTGTTGACATGCGTCTTGGGAGCACATTGCCACTAGGGGGCACAGGTTTCATGGACGGCCTGAGGGCCGCTGACACTGGAATCTGCTTGGTGTTCTTACAGGCAGCTGAAGCAAATAGGTCTGTCTCCCTAGGCTCACCAAAATCCAGGCATTTTCTCACCAAGCCGTGTACGTGATGGGAGGTCCATATAGTGAAGGCGTGTGACTGTGTGAGAGATGCCCATGTGGGAAACAGAGCCAGATTTGCTGATGTGAATACCATGCTTTCTTTCCCCCTTCTAGGTGTGGTACCGAGAGGATGTCAGCCACCCCAACCCAGAGGGTTCCTCCTGGTCTCTTGTGGATACCCCAGGGGAGGTGGTCCAGATCAGCTGTGGGCCCCATGACCTTATATGGGCCACCCTCTGGGAGGGGCAGGCTCTGGTCAGAGAAGGAATCTGCAGGAACAACCCAAAAGGTAGCCAGCCCCATAATAGGAAGCGGGGTGCTTGCTCTCCATAATCTTGGCTGACGGAGGCCGCCTGGGTTTCTTTGGGGACTGGCAGGAAGTTCCTGGTCCATAGTGGAGCCTCCTGGGTCTGAAAATGGTATCATGCACGTCTCCGCAGGAGTCAGTGTGGTCTGGGCCATCACAAAGGACCGCAAAGTAAGCATTGGGGGCCGGAGCTGGGGTGGGAAGTGGGTACCGTTCACACCCAGGGAATCCTTGTGAGGCCATCGAAACCCATTAGTGTAAGTCCTGTGAGCTTCTCTTTCTTTTTGAGATGGTATCCTAATCTTTGTATGCAGCCTTAAACTTCTGACCCTCCTGCTTGGATTACAGACATATGCCATCATGCCTAGTTGACAAGTGCTGGGGACCAAATCTTGGGCTTCATGCATGCCAAGTAACTCCTACCAGCTGAGCCACATCCTCAACCCTACTGAAGTCATCCCCTGTCTCCAGGATGTGCCCTCACTCACACACCTGGACCACAATGCTCAACCACCATGTTATTATTCCATAGGCCAGACATTTCAGATAATCAGAAGGCAATATGCCAGTAACCTCTGCCAATTAAATGCTTCTCTCCTTTGTCATTTGTATCTTATCCGAGGCAGGTTCAGTCAGGTGAACCAACTTTTATATGCTTCTGTGAGATCTGTCTGTCTGTCCTTCTGTCATCTGTCTGTCTGTTGCGGTGCTGAGGGAAGGAAGCTAGGGCCTTGTACATCAGGAGTTCATTCTAACTATATTTAGGGTGATCCTATCAACCCAGTACCTGAAAAGGGTTCTCTAGAATGATCCAGTGAGATGATTCAGTGGTAAAGTTGCCTGCCAGTAACAATCTGACAACCTGATTTCAGTGCCTGGGACGCACATGGGGGAAAACCAACTCTCACAGGTCGTCTTCTGACTTCCTCATGCAAGCTCCGGCACATGGCCCCCTCACTCCCCACCCCACCCCCCAAAACAACATATAAGTAAAAACACAATGAAGAGGTCTTCCTCAGATTGAGAGTTGGCTCAGTTGGTAAAACACTTTGTCTTGTGATGCTGAGGATCTGACTTCCAGCCCTGGATCCAATGTAAAAGTGCCGGGCATGCCGTAATCCCAGTGCTGGGAACTGGCGGATCTTTAGAGGTTGCAGGCCAGCCATCCAAGCAGGTTCTAGGCTAGTGAGAGACCCTAGTGGACATACACATACAGACACACAAACACACGCGCACACACACACCTGTACCTCTGTCTCTAAAGGTCTCCAGGGACGCCTGCTTCTTTCCGATTTTCCAGGTGTGGTTCCGGAGGGGTGTCAACTCGCACAACCCCTGTGGTACCAGCTGGATCGAGATGGTTGGAGAGATGACCATGGTGAACGTGGGGCTAAATGACCAGGTAGATGTGCACGTGGTTCACGGGACTGGGATACAGCTTGTCCACCTGCCATGCCGCTGTCCCGGCAGGGCTTATAGATGGAGACAGTGAGGACCCTAGGGGTGCACTGGGGGCTGGTATTCCAGAATGCAGGAGCCCCTACTTGGCTCAGTTATGTAACTAAGGACTCTAGAGGCAGTGCTGTCTGTGGTGAGGAAGGGTGGGGTATGCATTCTAGACCCAGGAAGGCAACGTTGAAAATCGTAGGGGAGGGAGGATTGCTAAGTGAGACAACCGGGTTACTTCCCCTTGACTCTCTGCTTCCACGTTCTTCTCATGGGTATCATCTGTGTAGCTTGACAGTGTAGACTTTTTCTAAAACAGAATGAGGTTTGAGTTTGGAGAGGTGGCTCAGTGGTTAAGATCAATGGCTGCTCTTCTATTGGACCCAAGTTCAAGTCCCAGCACCATGTTGCTCACCACTGACTGTAACTCCAGTCCTAGGGGACCCAACTACCTCTTGTGACCTCTGTTGGCTGGGGGAAGGGAGCTGCCTTCTCCTGCCTCAGGTTTCTACACTCACCTACCATCTCCAGCAGCCAGCCTGGTCCTGACACGCACCCTCAAGCGTCTCCCATGTCGTGATAAGGAGACTTCTGCCTGCATTTGCATACCTGTCCTACAGCCCCATTGAGCAATTTTGTACCCTCCGCTCTTCTCCAGCACTTGTGGAAGGAGTAAGAATCCATGTGTGTGCGCAGCTGCCTTTAAGTAGCACCCTGTTTGTTCTAGGTCTGGGGTATCAGCTGCGAGGACCGAGCTGTATACTTCCGGCAAGGTGTTACTCCCAGTGAGCTCAGTGGGAAGACATGGAAACCTATCATCGTGGGCCGAGAAAGTGACCGGTCACACTCTGGAAGCTCATCCAGTCTCCTCAGGTGACACAAGGCAGCAGGGCATAGAGGAGTTAGGTGGGACAGACTATCTGTGGCCTAATGGGATGTGTGCAAATGCCCTGCAGAAAATAAGTCTTTTTCAGATGATTGTAGGTTCCAGACCAGCTTGGACTGCTTAGTGAGACTGCGTCCCAACAAAAGCAAAAAAGGGAAGGGAAAAAACTCTGCAGTGAGGCTTTCTATAGATATGATTATCTCTGTTGCTGTGATAAAAACACTCTTACCAGAAGCAGTTTGGGGGAGGAAAGGAGTTATTTCATCTTGGAGATTGTAGTCCATCATTTAGGGGAGTCAAGACCAGAAATTGAAGGCAAGCCTGTTTGTTGGTCCATGTTTTGAGAGTATTACCTCTGACTAAAGAAGTTCCAGCACAAGGTTCTGGGGTCCATCCTCAACACCACGTGACGGGGTATGGCGGTCCACACCTGTAATCCCAGCATTTGGAAGACAGGGGCAGGAAGATCAGGAGTTAAGGTCACCCCTGGTTATATAATGAGTTTGAGACCCTGGGATATGAGACCCTGTCTCAAAAACAAAACAGAAAAGTGCTTCAGTCAAATGTGGTGGTGCATGCCTGCAGTCCTGGCACTTGGGATTGCTGTAAATTCAGGGGTAGTCCGGGCTACAGAGTGAGTCCCAAGTAACATGGAATATAGCCTGTCTTTGTACCAGAGGATGGCCTTGAACTCCCGCCTCTACCTCCTCCACACTGAGATGACAGGCGTGCACCATCACACCCAGCTTTATGGGGTGCTGAGAATCAAACTCAGGGCTTCTCCCATTCCAGGCAGCCACCTTACCATTTGAGCTACAGTCCCAGCCCATCTAAATAAATATACACACCTCAGCCCTTCGGTTTGGGATGTGATGGGGTCTTTCAGCCCTGCTCCCAGCCCCGGGAAGTGGAGCCCATGAGCGTTGTACAGGGGCAGTAGACAAGAGCCCAATGAGCGTGTGACGTGCTTGAGTTCACACAGTCACAGTGGCCAAACACGTCTTCCACGAGGACGTGAGAGTTTGTCCTGTTTTGTTCCCAGCGCTGGCTGCTTCTTTGGTGACGAGGTGAGGGGCAGTGGTACAGAATCCGCACCCAGTGATACTGATGCCTCCTCGGAAGTCGAGAGACAGGGCCCTGAACAGTCTCTCCCCAAAGAATCTTTGGATGGTTCCGGGAACCTTAAAGGGAGCTTGTCCAGGGGCCATGAGACCAGCAGGAGCACTGAGCACTCCAGCGAGAACGCCTGCCTATCGGAGGGCAAGGAAAAGGCTCCTGAGACCTCTAGTTTTGATGAATGCCATGCCCCAGCCTCCACACCAGCTGAGCTGCCCTGGACCAACATTGACCTAAAGGAGCCCAAGAAGGCATCTAACCAGTCAGCTGCCGGCTTTTCTGAGACCGCGGGCCTCTCTTCCCTGGGGCTCTTTCCACTGGGCATGGAGGAGCCCTACGGGGCAGACGATCACCCGCTGTGGGCCTGGGTGTCTGGAGGCGGATGTGCCGTGGAGGCGGGCTCTGCTCTCAAGTGGTTCACTGTCCAGTCAGGTAAGGGAACTCATGGCGCTGGTGTATGTGGCGTGTCCCCATGGCTGTCTGTGGGTGTGTGGTGTGTAGATGAGCAGCAGGCTCACCCCTGTCTCAAGGCTCTGTGGTGCCCAACAACCTTAACTAAGACCTTGAGCCAGTCTGTGGCTCAAGGGAGGAAGGTTCACAAAACAGTTTATAGGTTGGAACTTTCTAGCAAGAACAGGTAGACTGGGGCCGGGGGGATGTCTCCGTGGGTAAAGGGCTTGCTGTGCAACATGAGGACCTGGGTTCTGATCCCCAGCACCCACGTAAAAGTGGGGTATGGCAGTGCTGGGGCCTCACTGGCCAGGCAGCTAAAATTTCGAGCTTTTGGGACTAGCAAGAGATCCTGTCTCAAAAAAAAAAAAAAAAAAAATCAGAGGGCTCACATTGGCTTGAAGGTCAAGGATAGGGTCCATCATGGGGGAGAGGGAGGAGCTACGCCACATCTACGGTCAAGAAGCTGGGTGAATGATGGTACACCTCACATTCTCCTTATTCAGGGTGGGGCCCCAGCCCGTGGCACGGGGCTGCCCACCCCAGTTAATCCATCCTAGAAACTCCTTCACTGGGTCTAGACCCCATCAAGTTGACTGTCAGACGGGCCATCACGGGGATGGGGTGTGGAGACCCGCACCAGCCTCTTGTCCAGCTGCAGGCAGGAGGGCACCTGGTCTAAGGCTCTGGCCTCTTGCAGGCCTGTCCCCCTCAGTGCAGACGCTGTCCCTGTCCATCACCCCCGCCCAGACCGCTGCCTGGAGGAAGCAGATCTTCCAGCAGCTCACAGAAAGGACCAAGCGGGAGCTGGAGAGCTTCAGACACTATGAGCAGGCCGTGGAGCAGGTAGGCCCGCTTGTTGTTTGTTGGGAGTTTTTTCTTTGGGCGTAGGGTCGCACTGTGCCCCCACGCCAGCCTTGCACTTACTCTTAGCCCAGGTTAGCCTGGTCATCCAGCTGCTTCAGCCTCCGAGTGCTGGGTGGCAGCCCTCAGCCTTTCAGCTGGCTCCTGCTGGTTTAGTGATCGCTCTGCCATCTGGAGGAGGGCAGACACTGGGCCCACATGACCAACAGGGCTTCCAGACCCCAGGGCGGATTCAAGGAGAAGGAATCTCACTCCTCTATCCTAAAGAACTTTTCTCAGGACCCCGCCTCCTTCAGGACACCATGTGGGCCCTGGAACACAGACTTCTCAAAGGGGGGTGCCCTCGGAAGGGAAAGGCTAAACCTGTCGACCTTATGTCCCCACACCTCCATTCCTGTGATAGCCCATCTTGACAGTCAAGTTGGCTGGGTTTAGACTCAGCGAAAGGGTTTGTAGATTGGATTAACTGAAGCGGCCATCTTCCAGGAACCTAAATCTGATATTCTGATGGAATGGTCAGGACGGACTGGAACACAGTCACTGCCCTCCCCAAGGGTCACCCTGCTTGGCATGCCTCATGCTCTTGAGGGTAGAGACCCAGCCTTGGATGCCACCGTCAGTCTAAGAAAGAGAAATTAGAGCACAACATTGGTTTTCTTCAGAAGTCATAGCCTAGGCTGGCCTACAAGCCATCCTGTGTCGCAAGTGGGCTTATGTATTCAGGCAGCCCGAGACTTTAAGAGCCAGCTTTGACTCCCTCTCTGACTTTGGGCCAGGTGTGACCCCTTTCTTGTGCCTCAGTTTCCCTATCCATAACATGGGCTAATTAATGATGTGTACACCCCAAGAAATTGGTAATACAGCTACATCTCTGGCGCCACCTAGTGTCCTGTTGCAGCACTGATGTCATTTCCCAGGGGAAGCTGGGAGGATGGAAAACCAGAAGTACAGAGCAGAGGGACAGACCAAGGGCTAGAATAGCTCTTGGGCTCCGAGAAGGAGCTGCCTGTGACCTTTCTCCTCTGTCCTTTGTTGTCCTTGGTTCTCCGTGCCACAGTCAGTGTGGGTGAAGACGGGGGCCCTGCAGTGGTGGTGTGACTGGAAGCCCCACAAGTGGGTGGACGTCCGTGTGGCCCTGGAGCAGTTCACAGGGAACGACGGGGCTCGAGACAGCATCCTCTTCATCTACTATGTGGTCCATGAGGAGAAGAAGGTACAGGGTGGGGGGCACTTGTCAAGGGACCGTTTCCCAGAGAGGGGCACACCTTGAGGTGCTTGCTCCAGAATTTCCCCTCGTCGGCAAGGCCCAGTGTAGGTACATGTGTAGCAGTCTGAGCTGTGGACTGACCTGACCAGACTTCTCTGAGAGTAGCCGCTGCTGCTGCTGCTGCTGCTGCTGCTGCTGCTTCTTCTTCCTCTCCTCCTCCTCCTCCTCCTCCTCCTCCTCTTCCTCCTCTTCCTTCTTCTCCTTCTCCTCCTCCTCCCCCTCCCTCCCCCTCCTCCTCCTCCTCCTCCTCCTCCTCCTCCTCATCCTTCTTCTTCTTTATTTTAAATACCACTGCATATTTTCCTAGTCCTTTTTATTTTGAGACAGAGCCTCACTAAGTTAACTAACCTGGTTTGGAACTCACCATGTAGCCCAGGATGGCCTTGAACTCACATCTTCCTACATCAGGGGTCCAGGTGCTGGGTCACAGTTTTTTTGTTTGGTTGGTTTGAGTTTTGGGGGATTTGATCTTTTGTTTGTTTGCTTGGTTGGTTGGCTGGTTGGTTGGTTGGTTTGGTTTGGTTTGGTTTGGTTTGGTTTGGTTTGGTTTTTTCTGAGACAGGGTTTCTCTGTAGAGCTCTGGCTGTCCTGGGACTCGCTCTGTAGACCAGGCTGGCCTCGATGGGGTCACATGTTTGAATCACTCTTGGCCAGACTTTAGCCTTTGAGAGGAGGCTAGAGATTGGGGAGATGAATCCCAGTCTCACTTGTTGATATGTGCCAGGCCATCAACATCCAAAAGCGTTTTTTTTTTTTTTTTTTTTTTTTTTTTTTTTTAGGAGGGCCAGATAGGAAACAGGCTCCCATGCACCACCATGCCTGGCTGCATGCGACCTGAGGCTGGGATGCGACCTGAGGCTGGGGATTGAACTCGGGGCTTTGTGCATTCTAGACGAGCAGTCTCTGATCTGAGCCTCATCTTCAGCCCCAAAGCATTCGTTCTTGAGCACTAGGCTTGGATCATGAGGCCTGGGGAGGAACTCTAGCTGAGGGTACCTCGCTCAGGATGACAGTCGTCTGTGTACCCCTATCCAAACAGTACCTACACGTGTTCCTGAATGAGGTGACTGTGCTGGTCCCCGTGCTTAATGAAGCCAAACACTCCTTTGCCCTCTATACCCCCGAGAGGACGAGACAGAGGTGGCCCGTACGCCTGGCTGCAGCCACAGAGCAAGATATGAATGACTGGGTGAGTGGTCGCGGATCCTCGAGGGCTTAGTGAGAAAAGACCACCCAAGCCTCAGTCTTCCCAGCAGTGACCCATGCTGTGTACCCATGCCAGCTCGCACTGCTCAGCCTGTCTTGCTGCGAGAGCCGGAAGCTCCATGGACGCCCGTCCCCGCAGGCCATCTGGTCTGTCACTTGCAAGGGTGATATCTTTGTGAGCGAGCCCAGCCCAGACCTGGAAGCACATGAGCACCTGCTGCCCTGCGACCAGATGTGAGTGGGCCAAAGCCTCACGCCCCAACCCCGCCTCTAGCCCCGCCCCCAGCCCAAACCGCAGAGCTTGTGTTCTTGAAAAGGGCTCCCCTTGTGGGACCTGAACCCACACACTGTAGCTTCTCACTGACTAGCCAGATAGGCGGTTAGTTGCTCTTCTGGACCCTGAAACCCACTGGGCCTGTTTGTTCAAGGCTGGGCTTGGAGGTCAGCGGCGCCCGCCAGGCAGCTTTGGAGTAGCCTGGAGTTCTTGGAGTGGTGAATGTGATGTAGTCTCACCCCCAAGCGGCTTCGAGGGCCTGATCAGAGAAACCACATCTCCTTCACCAGATCTGAATCTAGGGGCTCAGTCCCTGCCAGTTCTGCTGAGACCCTGCAGTGTAGGGGGCCTGGAAGTAGAGAGGAAGAGGGGAGCTTGGAGTGTGCCCTAAGGTGGAAGTCTCGGGAGTGCAGTAATGACAAGCTCGTGGCAGAGGGGTGATGGGTACCCATTGCCTTCGGATATGGGGGATCCTGGAGCCGGAGGTCTTCTGTCGGGGCATTAAAACCATGGGGTCAGGGAAGCTCAGTAGTTCTGTTGTTAGTCTTTGCCTAAAATGTAGGAACGTTGGGTTCATCCCCGAGTACTCCAGAAACTGAGTGAGTTTGAGGACAGCCTAGGATCCATGAGTCATGATACAAGAAGTTCTAAAGGGACAGGTAGGAGCTCTGAGGAGGAAGAGGATGGGTGAGGACTCCCAGGGACGCCCTGGACACCCTTATAAATGATCACAGTCCAGCCCAGAATCATAGACCGAAATGTCCCATGGGTAGTCATGTACACTCTCACCTCCTGGTGGCAGAGGCAGAGCCTACAGAAAACCCACCTAGTCTCCTGGTTAGGCGGCTGTCCCTGGGAAGCCTCCCTGGGATGGTTTGGGAGCCAGCTGGCTACGCTGTCCCTCACACAGAGGATTAAATGGCTGGCATGTTCCCTGCTGTGTGCCTTGACATTTAAGCCTGGCTGCACCTAGCACACTGTGACCAATCCTGATTCTACTTCCCAGCTCTGAGAGAGGAGCATTGTGGACTAGACTTGTCCTGCCCCGTGGTCAGTGTGGCCCGGGTGAGGGGAACAATCTCTTAGGGACACCCTGCCTCTTGTAGGGTGCTTCAAGTGCTCTCCAGAATTGGTTGACTCAAACAGGAGCCAAGCAGGTTGCCTGCTCTACTGGCTTGGAGGTCTCAGACTTGTAGTACTTGGCCATGTGAGGTCTAACTCCAGGATGGGTGATGGGTTGGACAACGCGGCTGAGGGGCTTTTATCACCCCTGCAGGTTCTGGCGACAGATGGGAGGCCACTTGCGAATCATAGAGGCCAACAGCCGAGGTGTGGTATGGGGCATTGGCTATGACCACACAGCATGGGTATACACAGGCGGCTATGGCGGCGGTTGCTTCCAAGGTGAGGGAGGCTCTGAGTACCTGAGGCTGACTAGATTAACTCCCAGAACCTCCTGGGTATAACTTTCCCTATTCTCCATCTGGCCACCCTTCCCAGTGCCTAGGGCTGCTGTCCCAGCACAGACACTTAACAGATGGCTGACAGGTGACCTTCACCACTGCCAGCCTCCACAGAGGGCAGCCCCAGGCCAATCCCCAGGGTTCAAGAACCCTGAGAATAGGCCTAGTCTCCATAATGCCCTTTGGGATCCCACCAGCAGAACAGAAGAACTTGAAGGTTCTGGAACAGCTGGTGTCAGGGTCCTCTAACTTGTTCAGCACCTTATTTCATAGATGAAGACACAGGGTGCGTCACGTAGCTCTAGAACCCCTGTTCCCCAATTGTGCCAAATCCTAGAATCTTTAGGGAGAGCAAATCATCCCCAGCCTTAGGGAGTCCCAAGTTTAGGATGGAAAGTAGAGACAAAAGCAGACTTCAAGACAGACGCTGTGTGCCACAGTCCCAACACATACCTCATGATGGGGACGCAGCTGGCCCGGGAGAACTGTGGTCTGCTAAGACCACAGGAACCTTCAGTCTCACAGGCCAAGAGCTTTCCGGACCTTGTGGCAGGAATCACTTCTGGTCTCTGTTCTGCCTTTGAGGACTTTGAGCCTCTCAGAGGTTATATGTGTGGGCCAAGGTAGCCTTGCTAATAAGGTGAGCTGGGCAGGCACCTGCTGCGTATGAGATAGAAGACAGCAAAGACGAGGCCTCAGTCAGAATGGAGGGTGGCTGGCTGTGTCGCCTGCCTTTATTTACTACCAGCACTCGGGAGGCAGGAGCAGGCAGATCTCTGTGCGTTTGAGGTCAGTCTGGGGCATACGGTGGGACCCTGTCGCAGATTGCTCCTGTGGAAGCCATGTAGTCCCAGAGGAGAGAGAAACCTAAGCGAGGCTGGTCCCTCTGAAATCAAAGAGCCATCTCAGCTGCCCTGGCTCGGATCTGCCCTCCAAGTGTGTTTTCCATTGGGCTAAGATGCTTCAGGCAGAAAGGCCAAGTCCCCGGGAGCCTCAGCACTAGTGTGGCCCGGGTCCCAGCAGCCCCTTGTCCCCCTCACGCCTAGGCCTGGCCAGCAGCACCAGCAACATTTACACACAGTCAGATGTGAAGAGCGTCTACATCTATGAGAACCAGCGTTGGAACCCTGTCACGGGCTATACCAGCAGGTGAGTGGCCTGAGTGTTTGCTGAGGGTACTGTCTGGCCCAGGCCACAGACCCAACAAAAGCCGATGGCAGTGTTCAGCATAGCCTGGAGCTGGTGTCAGGCCTCCTGCCTGGAATAATAGGATAGCACTTGTTTTTTAGAAGTGTGTGTGTGTGTGTGTGTGTGTGTGTGTGTGTGAGAGAGAGAGAGAGAGAGAGAGAGAGAGAGACACATGTGGTGTGCATGTGAACCATGCACATTTGTGTGTGTGCGTGTGCACGCAGAGGCCAGAGATCAGGTGCAGGTATCCTCTGTAACTCCCCAGTGCTGGGATTTCAAGTGCATACCACTATACCCAGGCTTTTTTTTTTTCCTCTAAGATTTATTTTGTTTTTAAGTGCGTGTGAGTGTGTGCACACGTTTGTGCATATTCGTGCAGATGTCTGTGGGGGCCAGAAGAGTGTTGGATCCCTGGAGCAGGAGTTGCAGGCAGTCGTGAGCCTCCTAACATGGGTGCTGGGAACCAAACTCAGGTCCTCAGTGAGAGCCATCCAAGCGTAGTCACTGAGCTGTCTCAGCCCCTCCCAGCTCTCTCACTCGGGTTCTGTGGGCTGACTGTTGAAATTGACTCCTCTCGAGTGCAAAGCAAGCATTTTATCAAGTGCCCTCTCTCTCCAGACTCTTCTCTTTCTTTTTAAAGTTTATTATTAGATCCTGTCTCCATAAAAAGATTGCTAAGTGGTCACATTGGCCTGGACAGAGACGTGGTCCCAACCTCATCTGCAAAATTCCTCTTGCCAAAAACCTGAGTTTGTTTGCCATATCAGCTGCTAATATGACTCCCTCTGATGGCAGCTCCAGGGCATCTGATGCCCTCTTCTGGTCTTTGCAGGCACTGCATGCATGGCATATCCACATACAGGCATACACACATCCACATACATAACAGTTTTTATTAATCTAAGGGTTGAAGAGAGAGCATAGCAGCTAAGAATGCATAATGCCCCTGCAGGGGACCTGAGTTTGGTTCCCAGCACCTATAGACAGTTCACAACTGCCTGTAATTTTATCTTCAGGGGACCCAACACCCTCCTCTGGACTCTACAGGCATCTATGCTCACATAATGTGCATACACCCCACCCTACACACCCCCACGCCATCCCCTGTACACACTCAATTAAAAATGCACTTGTTGCCGGGCGGTGGTGGCGCACGCCTTTAATCCCAGCACTTGGGAAGCAGAGGCAGGCAGATTTCTGAGTTTGAGGCCAGCCTGGTCTACAGAGTGAGTTCCAGGACAGCCCGGGCTATAAAGAGAAACCCTGTCTTGAAAAACCAAAAAAAAAAAAAAAAAAAAAAATGTACTTGTTTGTTGGAGACAAGGTTTCTCTGTGTAGCCCTGGCTGTCCTGGAACTCACTCTGTAGACCAGGCAGGCTGGCCTCAAACTCAGAAATTCGCCTGCCTCTGCCTCCCAAGTGCGGGAATTTAAAGGCGTGCGCCACCACTGCCCATCTGGGAATACATTTTTTAAAAATTTAAGATTAGTCCCCAAACCTTTTAAGCTGAGTACCATGAGTGGCTCCTGTCCTTGCCGGAGGCTGAAGCAGGAGGATCTTTGTAAGTTCAAGCCAGCTCAGACCATCTAGTGTTTTTCAGGACTATGAAGTGAAAGATTCTCTCTCACGAAACAACAAAACCAAAAATCCTTTTGAGAAATCGTATCAGCAGGCAGGCACAGCTCCCCAGATCACTCTGCTTAGTGATTGTCACATGGAAGCCAGCAGAGGCAGCTTAAAAACCGTGGGACACCAACATGTCTCTGTAAAACTCCTATGTGGACACTGGAGTTTATAGTGCCAGGGAGCTGGGATTACGAGTGTGTGCTATTACCTGGCTTTTTTTGTACATGCTGGCTGCATTGTTTCTGGGCCTGTGCGGAGTGTCATGTGTGAACCGGTAGAGAGAGGAAGACTGCTCTCCTGGATCCAGGAAGCAGGGGGGGGGGAGGGCAGTCCTCAGCAAGATGTAACCTGGACAACGCATTCCCTCTGACCTCGTTCCTCCTACCACACCCCCCTCCCTCAAGGCCACCATCTCCCAGTGGTCAGTTCAGATCTTGAATCCATTGGTGGATTATGTCAGAGCCTTCATGGCCTGAATAAATTCTGGGAATACTCAAAAGGACAGTTTGGCAGCCTCTTAGGTATCTCTTTATCTGTTCAAGTTGGCCAAGGATATACAGAGAAACTCTGTCTCAAACAAAACAAAAGGTTAACCATCATTTCCAACTAAGGTCTCATCTATGGTTACTGGGTGAGTGGCTTCGGCTCCCTAGGGGTTGAGGCAGCAACTGTTATTACGGCCTAAGGGAAAGAGAGCTGACTGGCAGACCACACGGTGAGCCATGAGCCATGGCTTTGGTAGATGGGTTGGTTGCTATTGTCCAGGCACTGTGGCAACACAGGGTGACTCCAGTCGGTCTCCCTACCCTGGGGGAATTCTGATGGGTCTAGAGGTGGCTTGTTCAGGTCCCAGCCATGAGGTGTGAGCCTATTGCCCAAAGTGTCAGGGCAGGGTGTATTCTGACTCCTCTGCCATCAACCTCTATCTGTTGTCCTATAGGGGTCTGCCCACTGACCGATACATGTGGAGTGATGTCACAGGTCTACAAGAATGCACCAAGGCCGGCACGAAGCCCCCATCCCTGCAGTGGACTTGGGTGAGTCCTGCCTCCCTCTGTGTGTGTAGGGTCCTATCCCTCAGGTTTCTTCTGGTCTGTGGGACTGAGGGGAGAAGCTCCCCATTCACACAGAGTCGCTCTTCCCCAGGTCTCTGACTGGTATGTGGACTTCAGTGCCCCCGGAGGCACCGACCAGGAAGGATGGCAGTACGCCAGTGATTTCCCTGCGTGAGCATCTCTCCACGCCCTGAGCCTCTGATTTCGGGCCCCAGCCTGGCTGATTAGCAGAATCCTCCCCAGTGTTGTTACTGGAGCTGCTTCAGGCTTGGAGTGGGAGGGACCCTGGGGAGCTCTGCCTATTCCCTGGTTGTGGTAGAAGACTTTGTCTCTGCCATACCGAGTCTGAAGGTTCCAACAAGGTCCAGTAATGTGATCTTGGCCTAAGAGATTTGTGGAGGGATGGAACCCACTGGAGTGGGGGTGGGGTGGGGCAGGGGAGAGCTGGAGCCCAAGCCCTGCCCTGATGCCGGGGGGAGGGGGATGAGAGGGGCAACAGGAGGGAGAGTAGTCCTGCTGAAGGGGCAGCAGGAGTCCTTTGGAGTGAGGCAGAAGGAATCCTGGGAAGTCAGGCAGGCTGAGGCAAGTGGGTACGAGGTGAAGTAAGTGGTATGTTAGGCCTGGTAGGTGGCTCAGCTGGCGAAGGGCAACTTCCCTTGCAAACATGGGGCCTGGGTATGATCCCTGGAACCTCCTCACACACCTGTAATTCCAGCTCTGGGAAGGTGGAGGCAGGAGGATCCCTGGGGCTCACTAGCCAGCCTACTCTGTCTCAGAAGTGGGGTTGGGGTGGGGTAGAGAGTACCTGAGAAAGGACAGCCAAAGCTATCCTCCATGTACACACACACGTGTGCAGCGTGCACACAGACATGCACAAACACAAATGGATGGCAAGTCAAAAAGTTGAGACTGGCGGCTATCACACTGAGAGCCTGTGAGGGTGGCTCAGACCCCTCCCAGTGCAGAGGTCCAATCAGAAGACAAATGAACCAGGAGAACCTAAGCCAGATCCCATATGGATGGCTTCTAAGCGGACGGAGGGTGAGAGTCCAGGCTATCCCTGAGGTAGCAGTGAGGGCTCTCAGATGTCTGGACTCTCCAGCCCTCAAGTAGACTGAAGGCTTCCCTTCCCCTAGCACATTCTGATAGTAGCCGGGGAGGGGACAGGCCCTGGGGCCACTCAGCCTGACACACTGGATGGCAGCTGCCATGCCCAGGCCTTGGGACCCCTGAAAGCTACATTTCAGCCCCTGACCACATTGGGGCAGCTAGGAGAACTGTAGATAGCCACAGCTACTCCTCTGCTTGTGTGACTTAGAGTCGAGAAAAGTATATACAGTGTCACTTTCTAGAATGTTCCACGAAATGAACTTGATTGCACCATTTCTTCCTCTGGCAGCTCTTACCATGGGTACAAAACCATGAAGGATTTTGTCAGGAGAAGGTGCTGGGCCAGGTGAGAGACAGACCCTCAGGGTGGTGGGATCAGGCCCCGTTCCTCAGCTGTGCCCAGGGAAAGGGACATTGGTCTCTCTTGAGCCAGAACTGCTTGGCCTCTGACTCAAGTCCCCAGGAAAGAAGCAGGGAGGGAGAAACCAGAGTCAAAGTAAATGTCAGCCCAGGAAATGCCTGCGGGCTCCCTGCGCTCTGCTTTCTGAAGTTTGTTCTGAAGAACAAATAGGAGAAATGTCACTGGCTGGACTCTGCCCATAGGTTGGAGGCTGAGCTGGGGGAAGGGCAGCAGACAGGTAGGAATCCATCATTCCCATGCACTGGGTGCCCTGCCCCTCCCCTGAGTCCAGGAGTCTGCTGTCTCCCCCTACCCCCGTCAGAGCCATCCATCTCAGCTTCTGCATGCTGAGCTGTGTCAGCAGCAGGTAGGGGTGAGAGGTCTGGAGCCTCCCTGTCACACGCGGACCCTGGACCCAGGCTCCTATTTCCCTGCACAGAAAATGCAAGCTGGTGACCAGCGGGCCATGGCTGGAGGTGGCCCCCATCACACTCAGCGATGTGTCCATCATCCCAGAGAGTGCAGATGCTGGTGGGAAAGGACACAATATTGCACTGTGGGCCGTCAGTGACAAGGGGGACGTCCTGTGCCGCCTGGGTGTGTCTGAACTCAACCCCGCGGTGAGCACCAACCCTCTGGCCTTTTGGGATTGTCCCTGGTTTTGTAGAATCTTCAGGACATCAGGAGTCTTCCTTGAGAGGCACGTGGCCTCAGGTTTCCCCAGACCTGCCCAAAATGGGTCTCATATGTAATCCAAACGAGGCAGGTACTGCCAGGATGAGATTGGCATGGAAGGGTGCCATCTCTCTAAGCCTGGGGCAGTGGGGGTGGCATGAGGGTTCCTTAGCACCCTTGTTGAAGTGAACATGCTTTTATCTTTTCTTTGAGCCTGAGTCCAGGCCTTCAACTGTAGGCTACGGTCACACCGTAGTTACCGCTGTGTTAGACCAGGCTAGGTCCTGGATGCCCTTCACCTCTCAGGCAGGCTTTGAATCTCGACCTCAGAGGAGAGAGAGGCCAGGTGGTCCCACTGGCCCCTCCACAATCTCCCTCACCCATCCGTCTCTAGGGCTCCTCCTGGCTGCACGTTGGCACGGATCAGCCCTTTGCCTCTGTCTCCATCGGAGCCTGCTATCAGGTTTGGGCTGTGGCCAGGGATGGCTCTGCATTCTACCGGGGCTCTGTGTCTCCCTCCCAGCCAGCTGGTGAGTGGCACCCACCCCCCACAGCCCCACTCTGATGGAATATGGGGAGGGGGTTCCTGTTACGATGGTGCCTAGGTCTCTTGTTTAGTTCAGAGGGCATCTTCTGGCACAGTCCCGAGTGTGAGTTGGGCTCCTCCCCCAGAGGCCAACACATCCACACAGGGACAGCCTGGGACATCACCCCTGGGAGGGCTCCTGAGCTGTGGTATCTCGGGGCGTGAGCTGTGCTGGTCTGTTCTTTCCCAGGTTTTGTAGGAATGAAGGCCAGGCACTGAGTCCATCCCCTACCCCTGCGCCAGGCTGGACACTTTCATGTCACATAGATGCAGTGGGCTTAATATCAGAGCCCAGGATGGACTCCTGAAGGACCCTGGGCAAACCTGGGATCCTGGGGGATGGCAGAGCCTGAGGTGGCCTTACATGACCCTCAGCTCAGTAGCCCCCCCACCCATTGTTCAGCTTGAAGGCTGTGAGGACTCAGAGCGTTAGGACTCTAGACGACCTGGGTCTGGGCTCACAGGTGTGGGCTCTCCCAGGAACCTCCTGAGCTGGCTTTCCCGCCACAGGTGACTGCTGGTACCACATCCCGTCTCCTCCCAAGCAGAAGCTGACACAAGTGTCTGTGGGCCAGACATCAGTTTATGCCTTGGATGAAAACGGCAAGTTATTTATTTGAGTTTCTGCATGGTCACAGGGGAGGATAGGGTCTCATGGATATCCAGTTGGATCATGACCAGGCCACAAGTAGGCTGAGATGTCATTCCTCCTCAAAGCATCCTTTAGAAGTGTCTAGACTTTTCTGCGCTGTCTCCCTGGGGATAAGGAACGTTAGCTGTTAAGGTCACCCTCCTGCATTGTCTTCACCATGGAGACAGGACACTGGAGCTCAGCTCAAGTCTTGATCCTCAGAAGCCAGCCAGGGCCTGGACCAAGACAGAACAGCAAAGCCCCTGGGACCCCTACATGAAACCAGAAGCATGAGCTCGGAGCGAGCCTTACTCAGTTTGAGACACCAACACCAAGCCGCAGATGCATCTAGAATGTGGTTCTCAGCCTGTGGGTCGTGACCTCTTTGGTGTCACCTAAGACCATTGGAATTCTCTGATAATTACATGCTTTATAACAGCAAAACTACAGTTAGGAAGTAGCAACGAGAATTTTATGTTTGGGGGTCACCCCAACTGTATTAAAGGGTCACAGCATCAGGAAGGCCGAGGACCACTGCTCTAGAGCACCGTCTAGGAGATTCTACCTGGCCGTGGAACATAGGAGCCCCGTAGGCAGCATGGGGCTGGCTACCGGCCATCTCTGACCCCCGTGTCACTTCACACAGGGCGCTGGCCCATTCCTCTCAGGACTGTACTGATCGTATTGATGAGACAGTTACGAAAGGCTTAGAGCCATGGGGACACAGGCCTGTAAACCTAGCTCTTGGGAGGCAGAGGCAGGAAGACCAGATAGATGTTCAGGCTGTCCTAGTTACATAGTAAGTTCAAGGCAAGCCTGGAACACATGAGACCCTGTCTCAAACCTTGAAGACAGGTTTGGTGGGCCATGTCTTATAATCTTGTACTGGGAAAGCTAAGTCAAAAAGGATCAAGTTTGAAGCTGTCCTGAGCTACTTAGTGAGACCCCAGCTCAGAAAACCCAGAGAAAAGACCCAGCTCAGTTGGTAGAGAACCTGTCTCAAATGCACAAAGCCCTGAGTTCAGTCCCCAGCACTCCATGGACTAGTGTGGTGTGCACACCTGTAATCTCAGTCCTGGAAGATAGAAGCAACAGGATCATGAGTTCAAAACCAGCCTAGGTGGAAACTGAAAAAACAAAACAACAACAAACCAGTTTCGGAGTCTAGGGTTTTGCCTCTAGATTTGGTTCTCTTTTTATTTGCTTAAAACATTCTTTGTCTTCAGCTTCTACCTCAGCAGAAAGGCTAGGGGCTGTGAGCCCCAAAAGGCACAATGGGATATGTCTGAAGCCTACCACACAGACAGACAGGGCTGGCTGTAGCCCAGGCTCCTGGTTGTAGGTCATCCAAGAGCCCTTGGGTGTGGAGAATTGGATGGGGAGCTGGGGATTGATCCCCACAGCATGGCAAGATGGGCTAAAGGACTTCTCTGATGACCTTCCCTCCTCCAGGGAACCTGTGGTACCGAGCAGGAATCACCCCCAGCTACCCACAGGGCTCCAGCTGGGATCATGTGTCCAACAATGTACGCAGAGTGTCTGTGGGGCCACTGGACCAGGTGAGGTGGAGGAGATCAGGTTACTTGGCTGTGGGAAGAGGGGTTCCCTCTCTGGTCTCTCCCTTGTCCATCCAGTTGCCCTTCTGCAGGTGGGCCAGGAGCTCCAACAAAAGTCTGTTCCAGGTCTGGGTAATTGCCAACAAAGTCCAGGGGAGCCATGGCCTGAGCCGGGGGACAGTGTGTCGTCGCATGGGTGTCCAGCCTCGGGAGCCTAAAGGACAGGGCTGGGACTACGGCATTGGTGTGAGTGCAGTGGCAATCTGGGACTGTTCTATTGCACTGTCTATGCATGGGGGCTTGTGGAAGAGCCTTTGGTAGAATATGTAAGCCCTAAGTGACATGGCTTTCTGATTGTAGGGAGGCTGGGACCACATCTCTGTCCGGGCCAATGCCACCAGGGTACCTAGGAACATGTCCAGGAATCAGGAGGCCCATGGTCCAGGTCCTGTTTGCTGCTGAGGCCACACCTCACCCAGAAGCAAGGATGGTTTGAGCCTGAAGGACCAGTACTGAGCCTTTCTTGTGCAGTATGGGAGGGTGTCACCCAGGGCCCCACACACAGGGAGTCAGGTCAGAGTCAGCCATTTCTGCAGTACTGGCAAAAAGCCAGAGATGTGAGAGTGGGGGCAGTCCCCCACGTTCTGAGTCTGTGAGGGGTGCTGCAGGGAAGGGCCTTCAGCCCTGGTCCCTGCCTGCTATACCTCCCATCTTTCTAGGCCAGGAACTCAGAGCCCTCCAGAAATTCTGGCCCTAGAGAGACAGAGGCAGGGAGGACCCTTCCATACCTGGAGACCCCAGATGGCCTCCAGGAGAACAGCTGTGAGGTTTAGGTCTCCAGGCCTCAGTCTGGTCATTCCTCAGTAGGCTTCCCAAATGGAGTTTTGCTTCAAGAGTTAAGCAAAGGGCTGGATGCCTATAGGCCTGGCACTCAGGAGACTGAGGCAGGAGGATCCTGAGTTTGAGACTACCCAGGACTACAAAGCAAGACTGTCACAAAAAATAAATATCTAGATAAATAAACCAGGCATGGCGGTGCATGTCTGTTCTCCGAAGGTGAAGGCAAGGTCAGGAGTTCAAGGGCATCCTCAGGCTCCATAGTAAATTTGAGGCCAGCCTGGGCTACAGAAGACCCTGCCTCAAAAACACAGGTCTTATCCTGGAGGTTTGGGGTTCCCTCCTGTGGTGCACTGGAAGGTGGTTTCCTTGTAGAGAATCACCATCATGAACTCCAGTTTAGCCCCTTTCAGATATGGAGGCAGGGCCTCCCTGCACAGGGTTGTTTTGCAGGGAGGCAGATCTGGGTGGAGGCAGCTTGCACCCTGGATTTGTGTCCTGTGGAAAGGGTATGGCCTCAACTCCAGGCTGTCTTGTGCTCCACAGCTGGGCAGAAGGTACCTTGAATGCTAGCCTGCCTGGCGTGGCCTGAGCACTGGCCCATGGCAAACATGTGCCCCAGCAGGTGATGGCTCGCGTTTCAGACACTGCTCAGGAGTGCCAGAGCCAAGCCCTTCTCCACTTATTTTGAGACAGGACAGACCCCTCATTGGTTTGCCTGGGAATCCTCCCCTAGTGATGTCATGGTCAGGAGGGGTATCCCCAGAAGCTAAGGGGAAACTACTCTGGGGTCCCATCCCAAGGACAGGAATGGTCCCGTGTCCTCCTCATTTCCAGAGGTGAGAGCAAACACACCCATGTGCAGAGAGGCATCACTGTCAATGACAGCATTCTAAGGGGGCATCCGGGTTTGTCCCCAGCAGTGTGTTCTGCACATGGTTCTCAGCTGAGCACCGCCAGGGTGTCACCATGGTGATGAGTCCTCCCACTGCTGAGCACCAACTGTCCCCCCTCAGTGACACCAAACCGTCTAGGCTCCCCAGATGTTCTATTTAATAAAAATTTATACCACAGCATGACTGACAGATTTTTATTAGGTATTTGTGTTAAAAAGGCACAGGTCTCCAGGCCCCTGTTCCTAGGACCAGAGCACAGTGGCTGTAAAATCTTTTCATTTTAGGATACAGCTGGCGATTTCATTAGTTCTCCAGGAACTAGGGGGAAAATAGCCAGTCCAGGTCATTTAAGGAACGATTTCACCGTGGTGACAGGCAAGGCACAGGCCGTTCTGTTGATCATGGCTTTTCCCTGACAGGTCACATTTCAGGTTTCTCTGCTTGTGCTGATGGGAAGTTGGTGAGGTCTGGAGGCCCAGGACAAGTGTCTCCTTGTACAAAGGCTCAATGGTCCTCTTCATAAAGGCCCTGCCTGGTCTTCACACAGGGCCTCAGGTCCTAGGTTGAGGGGCAGCTCCAGCCCTCTTGCCCAGGGGCTTGAATAAACTCAGCCCCATTATCCAGCAGGACAGAAGGACTAGGGGTATAGATTGGTTGGTAGAGTGTTTGCTGAAGGTGCTCCAAGCCCCGGGTTCAATCCCCAGCACTGTCTAAACTGGGTGTAGAAGTCCATACTTCTAGTCAGTCCCAGCACAAGAGATAGAGGCAGAAGTTCATTATCCACATAGTAAGTTAGAGGTCCACCTATGCTCCAGTTCCAAAAAAAGATCACCCAGGGCTGGGGACAGGGAGACAGAGCAATAGGACTTCCTGGTATCACAGACTTGTCTCCTAGCCTCCTAGTGGGACTGGAGTCCCTAAAGATCCTTTGTGATGTGGCCAAGGGACATATAGGTCCTGTCTGTCACCAATAAAGAAATGGAGCTACTTCCCAGCTAGGCCCTGGGAAGTAAGGGTGTGCGAATGGCAGCTTGTGGTGGACAAAGGGCCACAAGGCTGTGGTCCTGCCAAACAGTGGCCCTGGACAGCCCTGGGCTGCAGCCAGGCGTTAGGGCAGAAGTTTGGCTGGATGGCTTCCCTTTCTCCCTGTGCTTCCAGGCAAGGTTGGACAAAAGGAGCTCAGCTCTGGCCTCGGCTCATATGGAAACCAGCCACGGGGTTTGTACTTGTGTCTGTTGGCAGAGGCCTTTGTGTTCCACTAGGAAGGTCCCCCATAGCAAGGTAGATATCTGGGCTCTGTCTTTCCAACTTGGAGTTGTGCCTGGCCTCTGCTCACACTGGTGAATTCCCTATTGACCTTCCCTAGTAGCCATCACCGAATAACAGACACGGGCCCCCAGTCTCTCCTGACCTACGTACGATCTATGACAGGACTGGAAATCTACACAAATCAGGTCTCACTGGGATGAGGAGACCAACAGCTCCAGGCCTAATGTAGCCATTATCTATTTTTTTGGGGTGCTAGGGCTCTCCCCCTACCCTGTGTTCACGTACTTGGGGGTGGATGGGGAGCTGAAGCAGCAGGATGGACCAAGCACAAGCTCAAAAATCAGCCTGGGCTGCATAGTTTAGGGCCAGCCTGAGCTACATAGTGAGACTCCTGTTATTCTAAAAGTGGGGGTGGGGGATTTGGGCCCCAAGGAACGCCAGGTCAGTTCTGGGCAGAGAGACAAGGGAGGAAGGAAGAGGCCAAGGACAAGTGACAGCAAAGTAGTCTGAACTGAAGCCCGGCAGAGCCAGTGGGGCAGGAACGCCCCGAGGACGGAAGCTGGGTTTCAGGAGGCCAGACTGCCAACCGCTCAGCCCTCCTTGTTAATGAGCAGGTTGGGGGAGGGACATGCCTGCCACTCCAGTTTCCACCTCAGAAAAACACCAAAGGTACTAAGAGCTAAGTCCAAACACCAAAGGTACTAAGAGCTAAGTCCAAACATCAAAGGTACTAAGAGCTAAGTCCAAACAGCTTGTGAAGAAACAAACACATGGCAACCAAACATCAGGGGCCAAACCAAGATGAATGTGAAATCCCAAGCATGGGGTACACCCTGTAATAGAGAGGGGTATAGTGGGACGTCTATAAAAGGCCCAGGACAAGTCTCTCCTTGTACAGAGGCTCAAGGGTCCTCTTCATAAAGGCTCTGCCTGGTCTCTACACAGGGCCTCAGATCTTAGGGTTAGGTTGTAGTCAGCCACAGCCTAGGACACTGTAGCTTTTCCAGAAGTGTCCATTTTAGGGGTGGGGAGAGAGAGGGGGGAGGGGGAGGGGGGGGGAGAGGGAGAGGGAGAGAGAGAGGGAGAGGGAGAGGGAGAGGGAGAAGGAGAGGGAGAGAGAAGTCTAGGCCTTTCTAACTTCAGTTGTTGAGTTGGACCCAGGGCAATCCTATAAAACGAGAAAACGAGATGCCATCTTGGCTTTGATGTCTTTTCCCTGAGAGGATTGAGTGGCACTTTGGGTCCAGTTTCCCATAGCCCCACAGTATGGGATGGACCTTAGGCTCAGCAGTCTCAGGGACATTCGTAAGTCAAGTTCATCCTGGAGTCACCCCTTAGCCAGCACACATGAATTGTAAGGAGGGCAAGAACTCTCCTGCCCTGCCAAAGGGCGGCAGGGACAGGGGCTCTCCCTGGAGGTTTGGGCCTCAGTATGCCTTGACGGACCAGATCTCTCCCTTGTCCCCTGGGGGTCTAGGAAAAAACTTCCACATGTTGGTGTCTGAGCTGACTTTCAAGGAAGATGGAGTCACTGCAGTCAACCTTGGGCTGGGATTGCAGCTCAGTTGGTAGAGAACTTGTTTAGCACACACAGAGCCCTTAGTTCAGTCCTCAGCGTGGCACCATGTCGTGATGTGTGTGCCTGGAATCCCAGACCCAGAGAAGATGGAGGTAAGAAAGATCAGGAGTTCAAGGCCAGCTCTGGCCACGCAAGAGTCTTTATCAACAACAAAATTCCCTCAAGGACCTCAGCAGTGTCATTGTCAGTCTGGGGCTTATGGCATAGAGGGACCACAACTGAGATGAACAGGCCAGGTCAGCGCTTCCAACCCACTCTGGACTCTGAAGAGCGTGCTAGCTCCCCTCTCTGAAGCTGTGGATCTGTGTAGAGTACCGTTGCAGGTGGCCTTGGGGCTGGTCCTCGGTGACACCAAGCATGGCCCCAGACACCTGCTGCTGCTGCTGCTGCTGCTGCTGGTGGTAGTGTTGGTATAGTTTAGGGCCTGGTGCAGGACCTGGTGCCTCCAGCCCTGGGAGACGGCTGCTGGACATAGTAAGTATGGTGGCGGTCAGTGACTTGATATAGTTCTTGGCCAGTGTGAGGGTCTCAATCTTGGAGAGCTTCTTGTCAGCCCGCACATGTGGGATGACCTCGCGCAGTGCCTGGAAGGCATTGTTGAGTTTATGCATCCGTTGTCTTTCCCGCTCATTGCTCTCCAGTCGCCTCTGAACGCTGTTCTCCCTGCGGCCACTGGACCCCTGTCGCCGCTTGACCTCTGCTCGAGCTCCACTTGCACGGGTTGTCCTGCTCCGAAGACCCTTTGTCAGCTCTGACCCCCCTGAGCCTGACTGGGGTCTGTCAGGCGTCTGCTCTCCTGGGCTAGCTTCTGTGTCCTGCATGGGTGTCCGGCGCCTAGGGGGCCGGTTCTTGGTCTTCATAGCTCCAGGCTGGTTTTCCCAGGAGGTGGTGGCTGGGAGAGGCCCTTCGAACTGAAATTCAGAACACAGCCCCTCTGCAGTCATTCAGCGTGGCCAGTGGGCATGCGGCATGGCTGTCTCATTGCTTCTTCAGCCAGTGCAGCTGACCACTGGGACATAGTGGACACCTGGATGCTTCCCACTCACACTGAACCCTGAGTTGACTCACCTGTGCTCCCAAAGCCCTGGCTGAGCTCACACTGACTCACTTTTCTCTAACCTACCGTCCCTCCCTCTCTCTCTCCCTCCTCACTGATCTGGGAACCCTTTTCAGGTTCCCTGCTCCGTACTGTTGCAAGTACCTCCTGAGCCATGGTACCTGACAATTTGTTTAAGCCACCCAGGAACAGGTCCCAGTCCTGGCCTATGGGTTCCCCCACACACACACTGACATTGTCCCAGACAGGCAGCACCCCTTAGACATCATGTTTACAGCTCTCCTGGACACGACACAGGTCCAGACATTATCAGAAGCAGAACCGCAGTGAGTGCACACAGGACAGCTCACAGGTCAGACTGACAGTTGCCAAGGCCCTGCAGCAGCCCCCAGTTCTACCACGTGGACGGCACCAGCCAGTCTGAGTGGAAGCCACCATATATCTATTTTTTCCCCACAGCTGCCGGCCGTCTGGTCCCGCTTCGGGGTCCCTTCCCAGCAGTCCCATCCAGTTCCCCCAAACCCTTGGTTTACCTGGGGGATCCAAGGCTGTACACGCAGAGGCTGCCCACGGGCGACAAGGACACGTCGCTTTAGCCACCACAGGCGGGGCTGCGGGAAGCATGTAAATGAGCTCACTGGGCGGGGCCAGGGCGGCACCTGCGGCCACGCCCCCGCTCTGAGGACCCGTGCGGACCCGCCTCCCCTTTCCTCTCTCTGGGTCTGAGAGCCCGCGGTCTCTCTGGGGACTTGCCGGCATTGGGGGGGTGTGGGGGGGGGAAATCCTGGATCGCACCTGGCCAGGACACCTGGCCTTGGGGTTAAGTCTCAGAACAGGGTCTAGGATAAGCCACCTTGCATAGTTTTACAGGAACCGCAGCCACCTCCCTGAGCAGAGCTGGCAAGACTTCTCCTCCCCTGCCCTGGAGCACCCTGAGTTTTCCAGCGGACTCTGTGAGTCCTAACCGTTCAAGTACCCGGCTGCTCCCCGTTTTGTCTTCCCTTACTGAAGTGGGGTGCGTCGGGGATGCCACCCAGGTCACCAGAGCTCCTAGTGGCAGAGTGTCACAGTTTTCAAGAGTCAGACAATTGGGAAAACCAACCAACCACATGGCTGCCTATCTGTTCCTAGCTCCTGTCGGTTTCCCGGAGGTTACAAGGGAATTACAATATAAAAGATTATGGGGCAGTAGAGTCCTGAGTCTGGGACTCACAAAGTGGAAGGAGAGAACCAACTCCCCCAAGTTGTCCTCTGACCTCTATGTGAGTATCTTGTTGCTCACAGAAAGCAGATTTTCTTACTAGCCTTTATCTGTCTGTCTGTCTGTCTGTCTATTTTTGGTGTATGTACATGCTCATAGATCAGAGGACAACGTGCAGGCGTCTGTTCTCACTCCCACCATGTTGTGCCGGGGATGAACTCAAGTCATTAGGTTTGGCAGCAAATGACTTTACCAGGCGAGCCATTTTGCTGGCTGTAGCACAGGCTGCCCTGGAGCACCTGATCCGCCAGCGTCTCTTCTGCCTCCCAAGTGTTAGAACTGCAACTGGGTCATGGCACACACAACTAAAATGTGTTGAAAATATATATTCTTTAATCCAGTGAGTGCATACAGATGTGTGTCGGGGCAGTGTGGTGCTGGGGACCAAACCCAGTGCTTCATTCGTGCTCAACTACATCCCTGGCTCTTTTTCCCTTTTAGTGACAGAGACTCCAAAGCCAAGGCTGTCAGTATTCCCCCCCCCGCCCCCCCCCCCCCCGGGCTAATAGAACCAGTCAAAATGCAGCCAGGACTCTGCATAACTCTGGGTGAGTTCTCAGTTCAGCAGGCTTGGGCCTCAGCACTTGTGACACAGCTACATAGGCCATGGATCTGGTAGAAAGCTGTCACCTCCCTCATGTCACTTGGACTTCAGTGAAAGAACTGGAGAGAGAGAGAGATCAGAACTGAGCCAGCCCCATACTGCATAGAACTGCTACTTTTTTTTTTTTTTTTTTTGAAACAGGACCTCATTCAGGCCATAGCCTGGGCTGGTTTTGGATGCATGGCAATCCTCCTGCCTCAGCACCCCAGGTGCTGGTATTAAGGGTATGCACCATGCCAAGCCCAGTGAAAGGCTGTTTTGTTTGGTGTGTGTGTGTGTGCGTGCACCAGTGTATGTGCACAAGTGTAAGGTGTGAAGATCAGAGTTCAACATCAATTGTTATTCTTGGGGGCACCATTTTTTTGTTTTGTTGAGGCAGACTCTCTCGCCAGCCTGGACCCTGCAGAGTATGCTGGACTGGCGAGTGAGCCCCAGGGGTCTCTGTTTCTGCTTCCCTACAACTGGACGATAAGCATACAGGCTCCACTCTACCTGACCTTTTTAGTTTTAAACATGGGCTTTAGAAACTGAACATGGGCTGGGCAGTGGTGGCGCACGCCTTTAATCCCAGCACTTGGGAGGCAGAGGCAGGCGGATTTCTGAGTTTGAGGCCAGCCTGGTCTACAGAGTGAGTTCCAGGACAGCCAGGGCTACACAGAGAAACCCTGTCTTGAAAAACCTAAAAAAAAAAAAGAAAGAAAGAAAGAAAGAAAGAAAGAAAGAAAGAAAGAAAGAAAGAAAGAAAGAAAGAAAGAAAAGAAAAAGAAAAAAGAAACTGAACATGGGTCTTCTCAGCAAAGAAGCCATCTCTCAACCAGAAAGGCTAGCTGTGACCTCTTGGGGAAGCATTTGGGGCCTGGGCCAAGGCCAAATCCTTATAAGCCAAACCTCATTAGAACTCCTCAGTAAGTAGAAAGGCTTGGATTAGAACCCACAGCCACACGTGCACCAGACTCTACAGTCTCCTGAGAACCATCCTCATGCCCTTAGAACTGTGGGGAGCTCAGAGACCCACAGCATTGGCCAAACCCACACAGGTTAAAAACAAGGAATAAACATAGCAACGGAGATTATTATAAATATATAACTATATTTATTTTGAATATTAAATAGTTTTTAAATTACAAGCAATTTATTGAATCACACTAAGCTTCACTATACAGTAAAAATCTTACAATTTAAAAATGTACACAATTTAAACTCCAAGTTCATTAACTGTTATATTGCCATGAACCCCTTCTGATTGTGTTAAGAACAACCTGGTAGGTGGCAGGCCAAGGGTGTGACTGTCCCACCCAGATCCCTGGCCGTGGACAGGATGAAACAGAGGGTACATGCACAAGTCCGGTCATCAAGACCCAGCTTCGCCTGTGCAGGCTCCAGTAACCAAACACCATATGTTCAACCCCTGGGATGGCTGTGGGTGATGCAATACTGCCAGCGCATCTTAAGAACTTATGTGTAAGTTAAATAGACTTTCCTGAAAGTCAACACTGGGGCCCCCGTTTGCTGCTTAAGAAATATTGAGATGTATGTTTGATATAACCGTGTCTGCCCACTCTTACTAGAAGGTGGCTTCTCTCAAGGTGGGTGCTCTGAAGCACAGAGAGCCTGACACTTGGTTGCACCTGGGTTTTCAGGCTGAGGGGTAGGAGGCTGCCTGTCTTTTTTCCCTGGCCCTGGGGACAGACATGCAATAGGTCACTAATTCTACAAATGCCCTATGGGAAGTACGAACAAAGGGGAAGGTTTTTTACAGCAGGGAGACAAACTTCCTCAGAGAAACCCATCTCTCTTACAAACAGGCCTGTATGTCTCAAAGAAGAAGGGAGGCTGTTTGCCATCTTTTCCACGGTAACCTTTCGATGAATGGCTTCTGGCCCAGACAGAGTCTGAGTCTCACGGGGAGGGGGAACTACTTTTTCCTGACTTAGGTCATCCTATAAGAAATGGAAGATATCAAGAAGGGCTTGGAGAGCTCATTATCTTTATGAGAGGACACCAAAGTCAATTTCCAGTCTGGTAGGTGGAGGATGAACACTCAAGGGAGGGCAGAAAGAAAAGTCACTGAGCCCACCACATGTCCACCGTGTGCCCGCCGTGAGCCCACCACATCCCAGCCACAGGCACCACTTGCTCATCTCTCTGCTTGCATGAGTGATCAGGTCTGGAAAGCCCACCAAGGGCAACCAAGCTATCAGTAAAAAATAAAACCAGCTGAGTATGGTGGCAACATCAGGGGGTAGAGGCAGATGGATTTCTGAGTTTGAGGTCAGCCCACACTACACAGCAAGTTCCAGGACAGCCAGGGCTACACAGAGAAACCCTGTCTTGAAAAACCAAAACCAAAACAAAACCAACATTGGATGGCAAAGCACATGCTCACATTTAAAAACCGGGCTGGAGTTTAGTCTATTGACATTTCTGCATATTGCTTGAGATTTGGGGAGGATGTGTTGACAAGTGTTATACAAAGTCTTCCCTTCCATGCGACACCACAGAAAGATCCACCCCACCCCAAATCAATATATAAAATGCTTTTGTTTTGGCAATTAACCATGAGCGTGATATTGATATAAATATAGACAGGAATTGTATTGATAAAATCCCCTCAACACGGTGAAAGACGGCCAGCCCTCAAATGCCACTAAGTCTACCCCAGGCTGGCTGTGTAAGGAGGCTAGATATACGGATCCATCTGACTGTAATCAGTGAATCTGAACTTCTTAGATCTATAATTTGAAAAAAAAAATCTTATTATAATTACGTCTCCTTTCTTTCTCAACTAAGACTGGTAGATAGAGGTAAAAATTAAAAACAAAATTCAGAAAGTCCACACAACAAAAATTCAGTTATGACAATTTTGGCAAAATTACTTTCAAATGCCCTTTTAATATACATGTCACAAGATCCAGTGCTTTCTATGGAGTCCAGGCATGCTAGATCTGCACCAAGTATTGGAAAAGGAGACTCTCTGTCTTCATATTTTTCCTGTTGATCATAAAATTATTGCTTAGTATAAAAATTCATGGATCGAATCAGAGTTGATAAAGGTCATAATCTGCTACGTAAACTCACACCGACATCCACACCAGCACTCTGTAGGAGAGCCCAAGTCCCTCTGACTGACTGCACAATGTCCCGGCCAGAGCCTGGAGACTCATCCCATTGTCCCAGTGGAGTCTGGAGAGTGGGGACAGCACCGGGAAGTATCTGGGGTGAGGAGCCCACCCCAGCAGGTGCAGTTCCCGTTAAACATGGCATCACCAGATTGCACTGCCAGCAACACTTCCTTTGTCAAAGCAGAGCTCCGGGGCAGCAGAGCGAGGCCTCCCTCTTGTGTGGGGACAGCAGATTCCTTCCATGATGTACTGAGGCTATGCTGAAGATGTGAGATCCCTTTCAGAACAAGAGGAGAGCTGGCTGCTTGATACAGGACCATGAAGGCTGCTGGAGGCCCTGCTGGGGTCCCTGCCCCCTCCTTGTAGCTACAGGGTGCTGCCTGTATCCTGGGTGCTCTGGCCTGGACAAACTGCTCGTCTCACTTGCAGCTCTGTGGGGACCAGTCTCTCAGAGGTCCCACCTGCCTGAGAGACTCAGAGCTCCTGCAGGCCGGCCTCTGTACAGAGGAAGTGGTACATGGCCTCACCTCACCAGAAAAGGACCCTGGGCACTGAGTGCTGGGTGCATCTCTTACAGGTTTTCTACCAAACGGATTTAAAAGCATGAGAGGCAGGGCAG